TCACACAGAAGCCACTGAAGTTATTTTCTGCACACTCACAAAGCATGGATGCACTAAAACTGGTTTTGCTAGCTTGAAACTTGTCTAATTCAATCTGTGATCAGACTTAGCAAGATCAGCTTGACTAAGGGTTTTAATTCTTCTCATTCTGCTGGAAACACCCTAGTAAGGGCTAGATGATAGTTTCTAAATGACTTCCCACTTTTTCTCTGGTAAATGACAATTTCTCTTTCCTTGCATCTTCCATAGAGCTAGGATGACACGCCTGGGTTTTAGTCTGCCTAATGAGAGCCACAGTAATGTGCAAACAGTGCTGCACACTGCTAGAACAAACATCTCTCCCATGTCCCTGGGTCACTGCCTCATGGCAGCGCTGCTCCAGGAAATCCTGGGTGTTTCTGAACTTCTGCCAGCCAAGAGGCTGCAAGACACGGGGGAAGTGAAGCCTGGCACCCTCGGATCTGGGCACCTACATGGGCTTGTGGAGCCTGTGCCTCAGTTGTAGGTCTCCCTGTCCTGCTAAGTAGCACTGAGGTCCCTCGGTGGCCTGGGGCTGGATGTGGAAGGAGGGATGCTGTTAGCTGTCTGCTCCCTTAGGTCATGGGAGCTCTAAGGGCTCCTCATGAGGAGATTCCAGCATCTGAGTCACTGCTCGGGTCAGAGCACAGCACCTCCTGGCTCACCCTGCTCTGCAGTGGGTAACCCTGACCTCACAATCTGATTAGTAACGTTAGTTAATAGCAACAACAATTACAATAGCGATGTTAGTTAGGGAAGTAACCAGTTATTTCCTTCCCTTGTGGGAATTACCACAGAGGCATTTGGGGTTTTCTGGGACCCAGAGTGCTATGGCCTGGTCCAACCTCTGCAATTTGCTCCTACTCTTCCCTTGTCCTCCTGATGGTTCCTAGAGTACATTTACACCCAGAATAAGTAACATTGTCCCTATCATCCACTTAATACCAAGTGAATCTTCTCTGAGCAAGGAGGGAATGAAGGTAGGGGGTAACCTCGGGAGCTGGCAGTGTCCTCAAGGACTTCCATTTGGCAAGAATGACCCCAACGTACTCCTCTAGCAAGGCTGCTTAGCAGATCTGCAAGAGTAAGGGCAGTCATGCGTTCTTTGCATCACTCCAGACCACTGAGTAGAATAAGTCAGAAACATATTCCTAGATCTCCCAGACTACTGCTAGCTCAACAGAGGGCTCAGTGCAGAAGGGAGATGAAAGCCACAGTATCTGCTGGGGTTGCATTCAAATGTACCAGAACTGGTCTTTCAAGGTAATTATACTTGTTTACTGGAATTGAATATACATGTCCCTGCAAGATGCCTCACAGAAATAAAGCTTATCTACCCATCTAAGGATCTGTACACATTTAAGTAACAAAATCTAAAATCAAAAGTTTTCTTTGTAGCAACTAGTCCCTATAAAGTAGGAGGCAGTGATGGATTGAGCATATACCAAGCATTGATTCGGAGTGTTTTGACATGCAATCAGATTTGATTGCTAAACTAGTTTGGTAGCTTTATTATGGGATGCTTAATACAGAGTTCGTTAATGCCTGTGCAATATATATTTTTTGGAAGTGGTTTTTTCCTCCCTGTGTATAACAGAAAACAAGTTGATTATCTCCAAGGCTCACTGTTGAGGAGAATAAGGCAATTGTAGCACAAGGCACAGCCCCTCGCTGGACGCTCACTGGGATGCAAAGGGGCTCTGTGCAGCAGTGGGTGCCGGTGGGAAAGGGAGGGTGATCCCAGCTAAGCACTATGGGAAATCTGGATTCAATTTTTGCCTCTTCCACAGACGCTTCCTCTGGTAAGGGACTTTACCTATTGCTGTGTCAGTCTGTTGAGACAGTGGATTATACGCGGTGCCTCATCTCACTTTTATCTATAGCTTGTCTCTAGTTTAGCTTGTATGGTATTTTACTTCTTTTTTGTAGTTGTAAGATTTTAGGGACATGTTAGCAAGAATTCTGCCGTGCACTATGGAAGAATCCTATCCCTTACAGCATCTAAGGATTCCCTTGTATTGCAAACAAATAATTGCAATGGAAGAACTAATTAAAGAGCTGGGACAAGAAAAGCATCCAAGGAGGCTAAAATCTGGACCCTTTGAGAAAGTCTGAAGGATTCTATTTTCTTTTTTTTTGCCAGTCCTTATAATGTCAGTATTTTCTCACTGTTTGAGGTGTTCACAATTTACAAACTCCCCTCCTACATGTATTTCAGCACTCCTGAAGTATGCAAGCTTATTTCTCTAGTCTAATCTCTTATTCTCCCTGTAACAGGCAGGCTGTGTCTGGCCATTTGGGAAATAGTTCATAATTCCATGCTTAAATAACTGCCTTTTGATAAAGGTCCAAGACAGCGCTCAGAGAGCTAGTTTGTTTTCAGGGATGGAGCAGACAGAGCAGAATGATGTTGCCTGCATACTAAGAAACTTGGCCCGAGGCCCACACACACACCAAAGGCAAAATAAATAAATAAGCATCTCAATCAATCTTGACATCACCAGGAAAAGGGTCACTGCCATGTGGAAGGAGACATCTGGCCACTGAAGTCACTGCTCTGGAAGGATGCCACTGAACTGTTCACATGCTCTGCAGCACAATAGGATAACATGACAGTCAAAAAAGGTAAAAAAAAAGGGGGGTGGATAAATTCTAATTGATGCTGAATGAGAGGAGGATTAAGGAAGGAGCTGCCCCCTTCTGCAAACCTAACATCTAACTTTTACCTGATGAAAAACTCCCATGGTTCCAATGCTAGACCAGCCTGTCATCTCACACGACACTATCCATTAGACTTTCAGAACCAGCTTTGGAACAAGGAAGAGCTGGATTTTACCATACAGCTAGAATGGAAACGTGTGGAGGAGGGCACTTTCCACATTCCCATGTGCAGGGCTAAGGAAGATGCACTTGCCCCGGTGTTTGTGTTACCTGCAGCTGTACACAACCACAACCACACACGCAGAATGACAGCTGTTCAGAGTAGCCACAGCAACAGACCGCTGCAGCCTTCCACATGCATCTTGTACTCCAAGGAATTATCTCTAAACACATTTAAAGGAAAATGCCAATTGTTCTATTTAATAAACAACAAGGTTTTGAGAAGGAGCAACAAGAATTGTCTGTGGGGAAGGAGAAACCTCTTGATAACTCTTTCCCTTATACACACAACCAACTTGCTTCTGCAGGCTATTGTCTCTCTTTCCCTCTGTCCCCATCCAGACACAATATTGAAAGCAGCAGGGGATTGTTTGCTATGGGAGCGCTGATCTTCCCTTTACAGTACCAGGGCATCCCAGCCCATCCAGACATCAAGCCAGGATGCTCCTGGCACAATGGAGCATCTGCACCCAGGACGTGGAGGCTCCTCTCCAGCCCTGGGCATTTCTGAACCAGCCTGGTTTAAACGCAGCACAGCCAAGACCGAGTCTTTGTTGTCAGAGCCCGGATTCCTTCAAGACCGCTAAAAAAATCCACCCTCCGAGAGATGGGAATGCGACTGCCTGGAAAACGCCTGTTTCTCAGCACTTTCCAGCTGATCCCCGCGGGTGCTGCCCGTTCTCCCGGTCACGAACGAGGGGTCCGGCGCTGCCTTGCTTGTTCTACAACCGGTCATTTCTCATCTACCCAGCGGCCGAGCCGGGCGGACGGAGGGATGCAGGGCACCGGCACCCGCAGGCCGGCGGCGGCGTGTGGCGGGGCCGGCTCCCCGCTCCTCACCGCTGCCCGTTCCCCCCCCCCCCCGGCCCGGCTTACCGCGGCCCCCCGCCGCCTAAAGCGATTATGGGAGCGCCCCGCTGTCCCGCTGCTCCTCCGCAGGGGCTTCGCGGTGCTTACCGGAACCGGGGCGAGTCCTTGATGCACTCCTCGAACTCCACCGTCATCCTGCCGGCTCGGCCCGCGGCGCCTTCAGCGGAGGAAGCGCATCGCCCGCCGGCAGCCAAGGACGCGGCGAGCGACCGACCGACTGAGGCAGCGAGCGAGCGCCCGCCCCCCGCGCCCGCCGCCTCAGCGGGATGAGCGCGCCCGCCGAGCGCCGCCGAACGCCACCGAGCGCCGCCGAACGCCGCCCAACGCCGCCCAGCGGCGCGAAAGGCCGCGCTGGCCCGGGCCCAGCCTGGGGCCGCCGGCGGGCAGAAGCGGAGGGCAGGGCCGCTGCGCCGGCAGCGCGAGGGTCCCCTCGCTTGGAGCGAACGGGCGGGACGGCGGGGTCCGTGTCCCTGCGAAAGGCGGCTCCCTTCCGAACGCTCACCCGGGGCCTTCGCCCCTCTTGCCGGGCGAGGGTGGGCTCTGGCAGGACGCTCGCGGCACCGTTTGAAGCCGTGGCAGCGATGCTTCGTGCATCACCTCATGCCAGGCGATCAGTCTGAGGTGCGGCTGCCATTTCCACAAAGAGCTGAGCGCGCTGATGGAGATCAGTGGGTCCAGCGCGATCCGAGAGTGGCAGTGTCAAAAGGATTGGCATCAATCCTGTTACGACTTAATCTAGTTTTTAATTTTCTATACGCAATGGATTTGCTGCTGCCATCAGCAGGGCAGCAAATCTGCAGTAACTCCTCTGGAGCCAACGTAATCACCTGAGGAAGGAAGACATCTGGGCCTGTGTGTCCGGCCGAACAGATCATGTTTGCTGCAGGACAGAGCAGTGTAATGTGGAATGGATAAACGAGGCTAATGATGATGGGTTTAGTTCTGATCCTCCACCCATCGAGCACCACAGACACAACAGTATAAACCACATCATTCACTGCAAGTTGAATAGGAGTTCAAGACTGGGAGAAGGGACTGAAGTGTAAATCATCACCTTTTAAGAGAATGCATCCCGTGTAACACAGACCTAAAGGAAAACAAGGGCCAGAGCATCTGAATCCACAGCAAAATGGATCATGATGAGGCCTCACCACAGGCACAGGCTGAGCCGTGATGAAATGAGGTGTTCAGTGACGTTTCTTTGCACAAACTCCAGCCCAGAGTCACCTCTAGAGCAGGCTCCCATTTCCATCTGAGTTCCCAGACCTGCCCGATTGCTCAGGCCCAACCAGAAGTATCAGTGTGCGAGCAAAAAGCTGACTTTTTAACACAGATATCAGATGCTGGAGGGTTCTGAGGAAGGCAGGAGAAGGAATTAGCCCCTCAATCCCCTCCATCCAGGAGAAGGAGCAAGCTGACCTCTGGTGGCCTCTGTTTTATGTAGTTCCATGAGGTCAAGTCAACACCGTTTCCATTCCTTTTGGTCCTCCCAACAAGATGAAAGCGTGGGGATGTTTCTGCCTGCGTGCGTATGCACAGGCTCCGGGATTACAAATTACCACTCTCTTTAGAGCCGAGAATCATCAGTTTCATTATAAAAGGCTCTGGAGGCCATTGTGCGAGTTGAAAGCCGGTTGGATTTTCCTATTCAAAGCAGATCCCAGGTTTGTATGAGGGAGGCAGGGATTTTTCTGTTGCTCTCCCTGTTTTGCTAATGACTTGGGCTATTGTTTGCGCTGGTTTGGGGCTACTGATGGTACACACAGATACTGCAGCTCAGGAAAGATGAGGGAAGATTCCACAATAGAAAGCATAGCCATGAAGAACATCTGCAGCCTTTGTTTTATTATCATTATCTTGGCCTATTTTTGTCCCTGTAGCTGTTATTTACCCTCAGTAAATGGTAGCCCACACACATCCTTTCACAGGCTGAAAGAGGTGAACATGGCTTACCTGAAACGCCCGTGATGTTTTCTGCAGGGACTTTAATGTGGCTGCTGGCTGAGTCGAGAGCAGTTTCATGTGGAGAAGGTTCACTGTGTCATTGAATCAGGCTGGTTTGGGTTAAAGGGAGCTTAAAGCTCATCCAGTTCCACAGGCAGGGACAGCTTCCACTAGAGCAGTTTGCTCCAAGTCCCTGTGTCCAACCTGGCCTTGAACACTGGCAGGGATGGGGCAGCCACAGCTTCTCTGGGCACCCTGTGCCAGCACCTCAGCACCCTCACAGGGAAGAGCTTCTGCCTAAGAGCTCATCTCAGTCTCCCCTTGGGCAGGTTAAAGCCGTTCCCCTCGGCCTGTTGGTTGGGAACATTCAAGCCTTTGAGTCCCCAGTCCCAAAGTCGCAAGTGAATTGTGGAGGGGTGCTCACCATGCCTCACACTGTACATTTACAGCCCCATAAACCGTGTTTTCTGTGGGAGTTACCTTCCTGCTCTGCCACTTTTGATGGCTTATCTGACTCAGGAGACAACCACAAGTGTGTTCGAACAGCCCAAAGGCTCAATTTCATTAGAAACGAACACAACACCCCAAACCTAACTCCTGCTCGGGTTATTTCTAACGGCAACATAAAGGCGATCACAGAGCCTGCCCGCAGGAAAACTCGATGTCTGAAGAGCCCTGGTAAGATGAAGCACAGGATTTGAGAGGGATTCCCTCCCTTGCCATGGCTGCCTCCGCCACCTTCACCCTGAGGTAAACGCGGCCCCTCCACGGCGCTGCCGCCGCGCCGCCTCAGCGGGCCCGCCCCACACGGAGCCGGAAGCGGGCGGCGGTGGGCGGGCCGCCGGCGGGAAGGCGGCTGAGGGGAGCCGGGAGGCCGCAGGGCTGTAGCCCTCGTAGCCATGGTGGTTTGTGCCCCAGCACGGTACCTAGTGTTCTTTCAGTACTTTGGCACTAAATATAGGTAGGTGCCTGAGCTGCATCCTCGCTGTGAGCGGTGGAAGTGAACCAGCGCCTGCTGAGGGGCCATCGTCACTGAAGGGGGTCAGCCCTGAGGGGCGGCCGCCATAAGTGGTGATGGGAGACCTGGGGAAGGGATGGGTGTATGTGGTGCTTTAGGTGAGGGTTAAATCCGTGCTGAGAGCAGACAGCTGGGCTGTGCTTTGTGCTGTGCACAGAAGTGTAAGGAAGGGGATGGTTTAGGCAGGAAATGCATAAAATAGGCACAGAGAAAAACATCAAAGGATGGAGAAAGAAGGCAAACTTGTGATCATGGGCTGGGACTCAGGGAGGGCAAGCGGCTGCTTCCTGCAGTGGTGGTGGTGGTGGTTTGCTGGGTGTCCGGTGGTGTGTCCGGTTTCCAGCCGTGCAGATGCTTGTGCTGCTTCGGGGGTGCAGCTGAAGTGGTCTGTGGGCTGAGTCCTGCAGGGTGGTAGCTGAGGTTGGGTTTCCCCAGGCCTCAAGCATCCCACATGCGTAGCTGTGCATGTTTACGGGGGGGGAGAAGTTGCGCAGCTCCAACCTGTGGAATTGTGCCTGTTTCCTTGGGGATTATACAGAATAATAGTATCATGTGCCAAACCCCACAACTCTTACAGTGCATGGTCTGTATCACTGTGGGTACTGACCTAAAGTACTCTGAGTAGTTACAGGTAGGTTGGGTTTAGCCTCAGGATGTGTCTCTCTGCACCTCAGCTTTTGTGAATGGCTGTGACTTCTACAGTAGAGAAGGAAGCTCACCACAGACTGTCTGTATGGCCTTTTAGTCACTTATGACATCCCCAGAGCCTGCAAAAAAGGGACCTGCACCAGGCAACCAGCTCCTGCCCCTGAAATAGTTTTATCTACAGCTTCTTTTCTAGTGTAATTTGTCTGCCTTATCTTTGTGCCAGCCTCCAGGTCCTGCTATAGCAAACGGTTTGATGACTGTCCCCATTAACTTCTGGATGTGCTGGTGGGCTCTTTGCAAAGTCCTTGGGTCCTGATATGTATCACTAACTACTGTATTTGTTTTGCTCTGCAGCGGGGTTATGGAGACTTCAAGTGATCAGTCATTGATTGGAGTCCAGAATTACTTGGAGGTAGGTCCTTTGCTAATCATATTGTCATTAAAATTAAACTTCTTAGGGAGTTACAGATATTATCAGAGATAAGTATTATTTTTAGATTGACACTTTATAAGGGACACTTGCATAGTATTAAACACTATGATATTCAAAACAGATGTTTAGAACTCATGTCAGTATACAGGTGGGAGAAATAAGGCAGGGTGAAGTCAGACACATTTACACCCTGATAAAGATGTGACCCCTTTAATGAGGCTTGAAATTGAGGCACCTTAGCACGGAACTCTGAGAGCCCCTGCTCAGGTACTGGCACACCTGAAGGGACTTAAGCCTGTGAGCTTCATATTAGCACTTGTGGCTATGCCTCTGCTTGTTCTCAGAACTGTCTTAAGCCGAGTTGTGCTGCTTCTAGATCTTGCATTCTCCTGGGAGAGGATATCTCTGATAGATATTTTCAGAACAAAGCACACCAGGATATCCATTGTTCCAATGGAAGAAAAAAAAATGCTTGGTTTCCATTCTTCTGGAGTTCTTCTAATATGCCGGGGAAAAAAAGGTATGATCTTGTCATCACTGTTGTTCCTGTGCTGTTCCTAGGGATTTCAGGAATGTAAGAATGGCTTTCAGGATGTGAGTGCTGGTTGGGCTTGGAGTGAGTGTGCAATAGGAGTGCAAAAGGTCCACTGTTAAACTAGCGAGTAGGACGTGGGTCTCTCGCATAGGGTGAATGCTCAGCACACCTGGATGTTTGTGTAACTCAATTGTAATTTAGTTACAAGCTCCTGTTGAGCTGCATTTATAGAGCAGTGTTGGAGAGTCCCATGTTCCTGTGCAGGGCAGGATCGAAAGGAAGGTGTGTTATTTTTCTCTTGTCTTAGAAGTATCATGTAGTTCAAAATGAAGGCTGTGCCTGCTCAGAAAAGAGACTGATTGAAATTGCTTCAGGTGAGCTCACACCTGTGTATGGATACCAACCTTTCTGTTACTCAGATCCCAGTTTCAGTCAGACTCTCTAACTTGAGATCATGAACTGCAGCAGGTTGAACATAGTGCACCCACCGTGCTTGTTTGTGTGAGTCTATGCTCTACATTAGCTTCAGTCCTTGTCTGTTGAAGGAAAAGAGTTGTGGAAGAGCTGAAGGAGCTCTTCCTTGCTGTCCTGCCCAGCCGCTCTGTGGCCAGGATGTTTCCACACCATACCTTGGTTTGCTGAGTGAGGGTGATAGCTCTTGCATGCTCTTGCTAAGCAGTCTGCAGAAGGAAAGTGTGATGAGTTAATGGCTTGAGTAAGAGTTCTATGGGTGTATTTGTATGGCTTTTTGCCTGAGACCGTTGTGGAGAAAGTGTATGAATATTGTGCACATCTTGAAAGAAGAGCCCCAGAGGATTTTCTGTCTCATTTATCTAATGCTCCGAACCATCCAGTGTCTCAGCCCCAGGCGCCGGACTTTGGGTGAGCCCAGCAGTTGTTTTGCATTATCCAAGTAACTTTGTTTTAACAGGCGAATGGGTAGGATGGGTGATTAAAGGAGAAAAAGAAGAAGAAGAAGAAAAAAAGAAAAAGATAAACTTATTTGGTGTTGTCTTTTCACAGTATCAGCACTTTGCAGGCCAGTTCTGGGATATGTGCTTTGCTTTCATGTGGTGGTATTGATGCTGGGCACTGCTGAGCAGAGCTGTGTCTATTAGAACCACATGGGAAGTCTTAAAACAGCTTTAATAGAAAACTTCTGGGGCCTGTAGGAATTTATCTTCCTTCCTCCATTTTTGTGCAGTCTTGAACTTCCCAGCTTTCCAAAGCCAGGAAGGCAACTGAAGGGAAGGGCGGAATTAAATCTGTAATGAGATCCTTATTGTATTCAAAGTATGTTCAGACATTTGTCTGCAGTTGCAGGCAAGCAAATAACCTGGGAGGTGTAGACCTTGTGTTTCAACAGCTGTGTCATTAGAACTGTAATGAACTGGTTTGTGAGTGTGGTGTTGCAGTCTTCTGTGGGGTAAGGTAAGACAGCTGGACTGGGGCTGAGCAGAAGGCTTGTCCATAACCCTTTGTCACTGTAAAGCACTGTATCCTACAGGATGCAAGCTTTTGTAGTCCTCAGTACTGTGATGTAACAGAGCAATGGGACTGTCTGGAGGAAGTGGAGAATTGTTTTAGCTCAGGGACAGATGTAGAGCTTTTAATATAGCTTTGAGGAGGGTAAGCTTTGCAGGCATCACTTTTGTTCTTTCTTGGAGACAATGTGTTTGTCTTGAAGTATTTGGAAGCCCAGCTTGCTAGTGATGGGTCCAAAACAAAACTCCAGACCTTGCCTCCCAGATGAGGAAGTTTGAATCCTGTGACTTGGCTCCTCCAGTTCCTTGTGGAAACTTACAAGATGCAGGACTTTATGCTCTGGTCTCAGTTCTTACAAATGTTCCTCCTGTAAAGGAAGATTTCCTATGCAGCACCTTTTGTTAAAATGAGTAGCAACATGTTGCTTGTGCTAACAGGTACCATATGCAAGGCCTGCTAAGATCTGCAGAATTAAGTTCCCTTTCATGTTTGATTTGAACATCTCCTGAGTGTACTGTTTCCCATTGTGCTCGTGAATGCTGCCCAAAACTAATCTTCCCCACACGAAGCTCTGTTTGGCCAGCAGCCTTGTGCTAAGGCCAGATATTACTCCTCATGAAAGGAAAAGGGGGAGTAGGAGAGGAGAAAAAGAATATATGCGAACTCCTTACTATGCAAGGCAGCTTTGGTACAACCCCCCCCAGAAAAGGAGGGGAGGAGGAAGAAAGGAAAATGGACCAAGAGAGCTGTTATCTTTAACCTCTGTTTTAACAGTAATTCAGTGGCATAGGAGATTGCTTTGGAAACCCTTTCTTCTAGCAGAAGCCACTTTCTCATTTTTTTTTCCTGGCTTTCACTTCAACTTTTATCTATTCCACTAAAAATGAGTTAGATTTTTCATTAGTTTCATTTGAAATAACACCCATTGAATCAGTGAGGCTGTGATGACTTGCAACCAGAAGCTTGCATGTTATTATTTATTAGAACACAGCAACCTATAAGTTGTGCAGCATTCCTGGCAATGCGGTGCATTCCCTTGTGTCTGTGCAGCTAATGGATTGTACAGTTCAGCTGCTTTAAAAGAGAAATGGACACTTAGTTATTCAAAAACATTTCTAATGCCTGTAGAGGTAGATGCTGAATATTCTGATGATCTTTTATGTAGACCTCATGGAGAGAAGCAAGTGAACTTTTGCTTCCCCACCATAGGTGGTATACAGCAGTGAGCCTGTTCTTCATCTTGCTTCTCCAGCGTTTGTAAAGAGTGAGAACTGAGCTGTGAGTAGGAATAGCAATCTGGAATGTGGATCCGTATCATTCTGGCACACAACAGTGGAAATTTCAGCGTGATTCAAAATATGGAAGTACTTAGTGAATGAAACCTGTTAGCAGAACAGGCCTACTACATGCAGCTAATGCTTTCCCCTGCATCTCTGGTATGCAGCGTATTAGAGGATAAACTGACACTCTGGGATGCTTGTTGCTGCTCCAGGAATATGGTTGTCTGGAAATGCTATGACTCAGGAAGTAAAGGCAAAATAAAAATGGATGAGATCTGGTTCAGTGAAAGGCCTCCAGCAGGTGCCAAGCCAAGATTTCAGTGTTTGTTACACCTGCTAAAGAGAAGGGTATTTGCATGCTCTGTGGCTTAAAGAACTTTGAGCACTGGGAGGGCAACCCAGCTTCTTTATTCCTTGTCTTCTCTAGTGCCTTTTACCTTGGGCACCATTGATAAAGGGCTTAACTTCTGCCTCAGTTTCCCCATAGGAATCCATAGATGATACCTAACAGGGTAGGGATCTGGATTAATAGCAGTAAAGCCTTTTGAGCTGCTCAGATGAAAGACGTACTTGTTTTAGGGGCTTGCCTTTTCCGAAAGGGCAGGAAAAACTGGTTGCTATCCAAGCAGTTACTAAGTGAAAATAATGTGGGGCTTTTAGAGTGTGGGTGATATTCACAGATAAAAGTATACAGGAACCAGAGGAGAAACTATCAGCTGTCTGTAGGCTCAAAGGGCATCTGGGTGGTACAGATAGGAGACATTTGCATAGGTGAAGGAGTCATTTCTGAATTGTCTGCAGAAAAGTTCATCAGTTCAGAAATGCTCTTTTTAAGGAGATTAATTAGGGTGGAGTATAAATGAAATATTAGAATTGAACCTGGAGGCAGCAGCTGATAGTACATTATCAGCTTGCATGCCTGTTAGGCTTGGAGGAAGAATCCACAAAGCTTTTAGCTTTCACAATCTGAGATTTGGTGGTGGTGGTCATATTCCTCCTTGGATGCCCAGCACATACATCCTTCAGTCACTTCTCCTAGGCAAAGCTCTCTGGTGAAAGCTGTGCTGGAGAAGGGCATGAAAATACCATTTATAGAACCTGCCATTCAGTCCTGCACCTTTGTGAATTCATTGGCTGACCTGAGTGGGGAAAACAACCAGATTTGCCTTGGGAGTCTGCATTCCAAACAGTGTTCTTATTGTCCAGCTTTGTCTGGATGCAGTGTGGGATCCAAAGGAGTGCTGCGTCTAAACTTCTCCAAGTCCCTAACAAGAGAGGAGAATGTATTACATGCTTTCTCCTGTTCTTTGCCCCTCTCTAACCCCACTGAACTGTTTTTCCACTGCCTGGTTTTTGCTTGATGGGAAAGAGGGGGGGAACTCACAAAACCCAAACATGTATTTGCAGAAACTATGGTCTTAAAATGCAGCTTCTGCTTTAAGACAAATTGCTGAGGCACAAGCCAAGGTCTACTGCAGAAAACTATTTAATTTCTGTCTGGTTAAGGGTGATAGATAAAGATTTTTGTTGTTAATTGTAACCACATGTGAACTCCAAATAGAAGGATTAGGAAGAGGAAAAGATAGGGTCATTTTGTTTGTTTCGCAGGCCTTCCCCTGCAGCTCTGATGCACGTTTTCCGTTACCTTCCTATGCATTTTAAGGGTACACTTTTGAGAGCCCAGAATCCTCTCTACTCAATAGTAGGAGTCTGGAAGGTGTTTGTGAGTCGGCAGTTCAAACTGTTGACTCTTGGTACCAAATGAAAATCAAATAAACACTGGTTCACTACTTGGGAGTGGAGATGGGAAAGGGGAAGAAATTTTTAGTCATTCGTCTGGTTTTATGCCTTTTCTTATTGTTTTCCAGTCTTTCAGATGTGCTTCACTCATTCCCTTTAACAAATTACATTGGATTTTCTAAGTGCCTGTCCTCACAAAGAAAAACTTGTATTTTGCAGTGGCCCAGCAACCCACTTTAAAACCTTACTGTACGTAAGACCTACTATGGTTTTAACATTGGTATTCCATGAACTTGCTGCCCTACCAGTGTTTGTCTTTTACCAAAACCCACCCTGGCTTTACTAAGCTTAGGCCAGTCTGGACAGACCCTTCAGTATGTACTACCTAATTAACCATGTTAGCATCTCTTTTGTTCTGTCTCTTGTGTGTGTGCATCTTGATTAAAAGACACCATATTAATGACTCATTTAGTAGGGCTTTATTTACTTTCCCAGCAGGAATGTGTAGTAATTCACCCGTTTGTTTTTCCAGTCCTTTGTTAGTGGGCAGAATGGAAAGGCAGAAACAGGGTGGGGAGATAAAAGCCAGCTGTGTGGATAGGAACAGCTGGGAAAGGGAAACAACGGGCCAAGCCGCAGGTTGGCTCTCCAGCAAATCCATGCCAAAATCCATAGGCAGAACCTAGAGGATCTCCATGGCTGTTCTTCCCCTTGCCTTAAGAACAGGAAGTTCAGCTTGTTGCAGTACAGTTTGCTAACTAAGTTTTACAGGACATTTCAGCTGCAGTGTAATTCTGGGGCCTTTTGGCTCCAGTAAGCTTGAACTCTGTGACTATAAAACATAAGATCTTTGATGGTATGAAAAATGTTGGTAGTTTTCTGCTTTAGTCTTGCCTGTGGCAGAGGTCTTGGCATGAGTGTGGCATCACCTGACTATTAAGGCAACACTAATTCCTGCAGGAAACAGTACTGTCAAGAATTAGCCAAGTCCTGTGTTAATGGAACTGTGGAAGCAGCAAATACAAGGAAATCCCACCTTGTGACTGTCAGTGGCCTGTGCCTGTCCTGTGGTTCTTTGTACCTGCTGGGATAGCTCACTGTCAGCTCCTCAACTACTCATGTGCTATATGAGCTGTGTCTTGATTCTTAGATCTGTTTATATTTCTCAGTGGGACTAATAAGTGCATTACATCAGTGTATGCTACTACTCGTCCCCTGGCTCCTCCTCTGCTCTCAGCAGTTAATGGAAGCATGTTGCTCTCTGTAGCCCTACTCCCATTGTGGATGGAAAGGAACTTTTGCCCACAGCAATAAGATGCGGTATTTGGCACTGTTATGGTCTGCACTGGAAGCAAGAGATGCAGCCTAAGCTCCTTCAGGTGTCTTGGCTGATGTAATTCAGACATCCCTGGGTGCTGTTTCCAGCCCTTTGAGGCTTGGATTCTGCAGCACTTTAAGATCTGCTGAAGCAATCCAAGTCGAGTTCTTAGCAGTAAATTGCAGGGATGGTGTCTGGGTTTAAATGGGCAATTCTCTGTCCTCTTTCCCACTCACCCAATGATATAAAGGATGGGCAGATAATATATTTTACTTTATTTTGTGCACATAAGGAAGCTCATATGGCATTTTGTATGTTCTGTTTGAGGGAATGTTAGGACAAAAGGTGAGAAGCCACTGGTGCTAGAAGTCCCCCCAACAGGCTTTTCTCCATCCCTTTGCAGCCCACGGTAAAACTCCCAATTACTTCTTTGTGTGAGTAATAAAGAGACATATGGTTAGCAAGGAGGAGGATGTTTTTTCCTAGCTAGCTTGAAGCAAGTCATCTATTCATGAATCCCAACTCATCTTGGCTTCCAGAAGGCAGTGCAGAACCTAAAGCCTGTTGCTCCTGTCAAGTTCCACATCTCCAGCCGCACAGATACTGGTGTCCATGCACTCTGCAACTCTGCTCACCTTGACATCCAGAGGGCTCCAGGGAAGCCAGCTTTTGAGGAGAAACAGCTTGTCCATGGTCTTAATCGCCACCTGAAGCCTGAGCCAATCCGGTAAGTTGGTGGCAAGTCAAAATCTTCTTGCTGGAGAAAGGAGGAAATGCAGCAATGATCTCCATTCTTCACCCACAAGCTCTATTTTCCCTTGTTAATATGTGTTGCCAAACCACTCCCTTGCATGTGTGTATTTCTATTACCACCAGACCCCTGTTATTGTTAGATCATCTATGCTGCTACCCCTAAAATAAGAGTAGTTATGAGAGACTGGGGTCACCATGTAAGTATTGAATCCAATGGGATGACTCTACTTTCACACATGAGCTTGAACACTGGTATTTAACTTCCAGTGCTGCTTTATTTCCCAAACTCCCCAATATCCTTTGTTTATTGAGTTAGCACTTGGCAAAAACCTGGCTGCAGTATTGCCTCTCACCTGGATCTATGCAAAAAGATGAAGAACAAGCAAACAAAATGCTGTTAGTGTTGGCAGTCTGCTCTTCCCTTACCATGTCATCAGCCCCCTTTTTTTTCCCTCTAGACCAAGGCTACTGCTTAACTCTGGAAAAGTTACATCAAAAACTCCAGTTGAATATTTTTATAGCAAGATTTGATGTTTTACTCAATGGGATAAAGTCCTTTTCATACTATACCCAACTGTTAATGACTAGGAAGTGTTGCATATGAATGTTGATACAACAATCTACAGAGAGCAGAACAGCCATTTCTTCTTCCTGTTTCCTTCTTTCTTCTTGTTAGTTATTACTTGTTGAAGAATGTCACAGTGAGCTTATTCTGCATGAGAGAAAAGCCTAAATGCCCACCCTCAAATGCAGAAAAAAATGATCATTAAACCAACAGTTTCTGTTTGGAATTTGCATCAATTAGATGAGTAATTTCTACACCCTGTGACTTTTTCAGAAGGTGGATTGGATTTCATGTTCTTTGCTTTCCTTCCCAAGCTGTTGTGCAGTTTCTCTGTCGGCTGTCAGACAGTTTCTGTGTTCTTCCCCAGACATGGGTGCATTTTATGGTTAAAGGGTAAATCGAATAAAACACTGGGGGCTTTTTTAGACTAAAAGCCAAATCTGTGCTGTGTTATAGAATCAACATGCCATTTGCCAGCAACTGCTTTGCTGTGGTCTATTCCTCCTTCTGTTGCTTTGTCTTATTTGCATACACTAAACTCTTCAAGGCAGAGATTGTCTTTGTCTGCCCAGGATTTGGTCCAGTAGGATTTGAATCTCTGTGAGGTACTGTATGGAAGAGTGTGTCAAAGCATTTCAGAGTGTTGTGTAAGAAGGTGGGTAATCTAAGGAGGTATTTAGGTGAGCAGAACTGTCATGCAAGGTGCCAGACCTCGGTCTTCCTGATGTCTGGTGACATGTACATAAAGAAAGATTATGGGGAGAAATTCCCCATGCCAGAGAAGGACCCAGGACCAAAACGCCCATCCCTCCCCACCTCAGTGCAGGATTGTTGCAAGAATTAGCAACATTACTATGAGGTACTCTTCGCCCTTCCTGCTTCACCTAGTCTGCTTTACTTTATAATCTCTTGGCGAAACAGGACCTGACACAAATGCTGACATAGCAAGGCCTGGGATTTGAGGACTGACATGTAGTTGCCTCAGTTCTCAGTGTTGCAGGGGAGCATTCTAGTTCCCCAAGGCTTGGGGAACAGTGAATTCAGCTCTTAATGTGCAGGTGCTCAAGTAGCTTGGGGTCTGAAGGAGGGAGAAATGAAAGATGGTGTTACTTTTTCCCAGGGGGTCCTTCTTGCATGTTCCACATGCTGTGCAAAGAGTGAACTAGTATGGGTTGGTTGGAACTGTGGAATGCTTTGCAGAAGGTGCTGATCTGCAATTGAATCGCATGCTTTGACCTTTCAAAGCATGTTGTAAACATTCAAACCTGCTGTAGGGTGGTGAGGCACTGGAACAGGTTGCCCAAAGAAGTGGTAAATACTTCATCCTTCGCAATGTTCAAGGCCAGGTTGGACAGAGCCTAGGGCAGCATGGTCTAGGGTGAGGTGTCCCTGCTCATGGCAGGGCTTTTGAACTGGATGATCTTAAGGTCTTTTCCAACCCAAATAATTCTGTGACTCTATGAAATACACTGAGATCTTTTATCTGCAGTCTCTCAGCCTGGTCAGTGACTGGAGCAGAAGCTGCAGCTGCTCTCTTGGAGCTAGCTGCATTCTTTTACATCCAGACAAGTACCAAGGGAGCCATCAGGGGGTGAAGGGGAAGAGGAAGTAAAATCCTTGGAATCTGAGCTCAGGAAAAAGAGCTGGAAGGCACTGAGAGAGCTTTATTATTTAGTGACTGTTTATTATGTTTTTTCAACTGACCTTTTCCCTGGATATTTATAGTTCCTTTAACAGCCCTCGGACAGTTTTGTGGACAGCATAGGGCCGCACCACTTTGATCCTGACAGTCTTCTGACTGTCCACATCGGCTTCACTGTTAATGCCCCTCCATAAGACCCTCTTGTGATGTCTTGGAGTAGGTGAGCTCAACCTAAGGGCAGTGTGTGATGACCATTATGCTGCTTGGGCTTGTTACAGAGTGTGGCTGCCATTAGAAATGCATCCCTGTCAGTCCCCAGAAATGTGTAAGGGGAAATTGCTCTCCCCCACACCTTATTTGCAAAAATGTGTTTCAGCAGCTTGCAGAGTTGGTGGAGTCTCCCTGAAAGCAAACTTTTCACAGTGGGTACCTGAAAGCAAAGCAAATACTGATTTCACTGCTTTTACTACACAGCCCACAGCCAGCCATCCAGTAACAAGTCAGATCATGCATCCCAAACCTGAGATTGAATATTAGCATAATAACAGAGGATTGACAGATTTGCACTTCCATTTGCCTCTTAAAGTAACAGCTAGATTCCTCTGTGCTGAGAAGCCAGAACACAAAGCAAATCCTTCTCTCAAGATAGCTAAGTTGCAGCTTAACATCTGTGAGTTATGTCCCTTGATAGCTTTCACCTTCTTTGACATATGTGTGAAGAGTTCAGTGCATCTGCTGAGGGGCTGGAGGTGATTTTGTTCCAGGCTGCTGTGTCAGTTAAAGCAAAAGAAACGATTCTGAAACAGAGTTTGACTTGTGCAGGATTTTAGTTATTTTTTGCTAAGCCTGAAAACTAGGTCAGAATCTATGGAAATCAAACCCTTTCTGGATGTTTTAGCTGTTACAGGGAGCATGAAGTAGGTCATAGTTTTGATTTCCTTCCTTAAAGGACTAAAGCAGTTGTTTGGGAGGCAAAACTAGGTGATTTTACAGCCGGAGGATACCACTGTAATAATCAGTGTGTTCTTGTGTGTCACCAGCCACTGAATCTCGGTGTCTCTCCCCTGAGTTTAGGCTTCGAACAGGTGAGTTGTGTTGTCTGAGTTTAATGGAATAAGTTGTCCGAGAGAACAAAATCTACTGTTGTGACCCTTCCATTTCCCATACTGGTAATCCTAAATACATAGTTATAGTGAGCTTTGTGATGCTTTGATTAGTCAAAGAGCAAACAGGATTGCTGCTGAAGAAGGTTTTGAGTTAAGAGAGTATCTCTGAAAGGAGGCAGCAGTGGGGTCTTACAGATGGGAGTTTTTTATCTCGCACTAAGACCCGAGATGTACCTATCAGGGGTGATGGCTTCTGATCAAACGCAGTACAGTCCTGATCAGTTAGAGTTTGGGTTTCTCAGAGCGCGTTCAGCTCTGCTTCTCCTTCCTCCCTTGGTCTGAAAATGGTTCAGCTGCTTTCCATTAAAGAGCTTGGTGATGGGCATGAGTCTGAGTGTATTCAGCAACCATCCCCTCCTCTGTAAATATGACTTTGCCAAGAAGAATTCTCTCCTAATGCTGAAGAGAAAACTCGGCACTTTCATGTGGTTGCAAGCAGGGGGTGATGGAGAGAGGGATCTTTGTGAGAACACGTTATTGGCAATGAGCTTGGAAGGGAAACAAGATTCCAAGCTTGCTGACTGTATCAGCAGCAGTAATAACCTTTTGTAGCATGATGGGTTTCTTCTATCACCTGATCTGTCTTTTAGATTTGCAAAGCATATTTGAAAGGATCTTGTCCACAAAGATCAGAGTTTATTTCATAGTTGGGGTTACTTCAGGAGGACTTAGCCCCTTAAGTAGGGGTGGTAATACAGTAGACTTTCACCTTCTGTTTCTGGTTGCAGTTTTTTAAGCACACAGTAAGTGCTGCTTGAGGGACAAGAAGATGGAGTTGAGATTCCTCCCACTGTCTGTAAATTGCCATTTAACTTCTGTAGGATGTACTTGTGGAGAATATCTTTGTATCCAATAAATTACCATTGCTAGTTAGATGGCTTTGGGCTTTTCTTCCTTCAGTCTCTTCTGAAATTCAGGCTCCTTTGAGAAGGTAAAGTCTGCCATGAGTCTGTATTTACCAGCAGGCTTTCAAATAATGGGATCTTAACACGGCCTGAAATGCAGCTGCTGGAATAAATGCTGGAAAGACATTCCTAGCTAGAAAAAAGCCTCTGGTAGCAATTGCATCTGCTGGAAGAGGCAGAAAAGGTGTCTGTGTGGAAGACCATGTGAGCATAACTAGACTTTTCTGAAAGCATCCCTCTATCAGAGGGAGTGAAAGGATGGTTATTGAATAAAAAAATCACATAAATGTTAATAAGAGAAGCTCAAGATAGATGAAATGCTTGTGGAGGCATGTAAACAAGGGAAAATAAATGTAATTTATTATATTTCTGTGTTTAGTAGAAGCTGGAGGTCCTCGGTTCAAACTCAATCCCAGGCCTGGAGGATGTAGTTTGCATTTCGACTGAGAGTTTATAGCAGTGGAGCAATCTCCAGGGCTTGTTATTGCAAATCTTTGTGCCTCAGCTTTAATTTCTTCTTCTGTGGTCTGAGCCTTCGCAGTCAAAGGATGTGAGCCAGAGGCACTTGAGCTGGCAGAAATCCCTGGAGCACCAACCTTTTTCAAGTAAATAAATAGCTTTTTCTATTACTCGGTCCCAAATGGTATGTTTTGGCTACCCTGGGTCCCTTGTCTTCACTGTGCTGAACCCCAGAGACAGCATGGCACACAGGAGAAAAATACCTTCTAAGGAAAGGTATCCTCTAAAGTAACACCTGCAGAGAGATGGTGCCGATGTAATAGGGGCTCTTTGCTGTATGCTCCCTGCAGTGTGGTGAGTAGCCAGTGTTCTGGGATAAGGGAAAATCAGATCCTGTAAAAGCTGTGCTGATGTGTTCAAATCGATGATAATGCTTTGGGGCAGGAACACAGGGAAGCTCTGTATTCTCCCTTGCTGGAGAGAAGGGTGTTTTCCTCTCAAACAGTTTTCATTCCCTCCCTTCTGGCTACCAAGCTGTCTGTGTTTGATGGTAATGATGGTGCTGGCTTAGAGAAACAAGGCAATTTCTCCCTGTTGCTTGTGGAAGAAAACAGGGGAGATCATCTGCCTAGACAGCTGATTCTTAAGTTGACTGCCCAGAGTCAGTGGAAGATAAATAGACATGAGCATTCCCAAAAGCCATTTTCTGCACACATGATGTGTGAGGGGGTCTCCTGCATGAAGCATTCTGTTTCCAGACTCAATATAGGTGATGGTGGGATGCACCTTTACTTTCATTGCTATAGCAAAGTCCTGTTTGTCTTGGAGGTTGTAGGGGGATGTGGGGAGAAGTGACTTCATCTAAGCTATCTCCATCTGCTACAACGAGCTGTGGAACCTTTGAGAGTGAGCACAGAGGTTCAGTTGCTGGGGGAGTCCTTCCCATTCACATTTGGAACTATGGATCTGCAGCAGCAGAAGGGCACAATGTTTGTAAGGTGTGCCCCTCAGCTGGAGGGGTCAGCTTGCCTTGGGCAGTTGCTGCCTCTTGCCTTAAGCATGGCTGGGAGCACCTGTGCCCTCAGCCAGATTTGCAAGATGATTTGATGGGCTGGGTGAGGTGTTTGGTCTCAATGTGCATCAAAGAACACACACCATCAATTGCCATTTCTCTGCTGAAGGGCTGATTGGTCTTAGCCTCTTGTGATGGTGTCAGCATCCCCAAAATGTGTTGATAGATGACCCAGAGTTGGTGTGTGTTTGATGACAGGGATGATGCTAAGGCTCTTCTGTTTTCTTCCAGTTGACAGATGCCTGTGGCAGCCTAGAGATGCAAATCCTTGGTCACTGGTTAGTCATGGGCTCTGCAGAGAGTGAGATTTAATGGATTTTAAGTGTGGTTTCTCAAAGAATCCATTGCATATTTCAGTTCCCATCTATGTGGTGACCAGGCAAAAGGTTTTGAACTAGTGCATGACGTTTCCCTCCATCTCGCTCTGTCTTCTCACAGCATTCTGAATGCCCACCGGGTGCCCAGCACCTTCCATGCACGCTTCTCCGCGCTGTCAAGAACCTACATCTATCGGCTGCTGATGGGCTGCTCTCATCATTCTGAAATCCCAGTGTTTGAAAGGGATCTCTGCTGGGCTCCTGGGGGAGGGTAAGTGCTCCATTAAACATCCCTGGGGAGCCTCATCAGCACTATGGAAGGGCTTGGCTTTTGGGGGAAGTGGGAGGAGGCAATTTCCACATGAGACCAGATTCCCTGTTCATATTGCCAAGATTTCTCTGTTGAAATGGGTGCAGCTCACTGAGCCTTACTCACTTCACTGAGCCTTACAGTTCTTCTGAATTGTACGGTGTTACCTGTAATAAACATGCTTGCACTGCTGAACTATTTATTTAGTGACTCCAGGTAAAGTCCATCAACAACTTTGTGTGTCCCTCCCTAATGGAATTGATGAGCATTTCCTCAGATGACCTTGCCAGTTCATACAGCAAACCCATTCAGACAGCTGGCCAGAGGAGCAGTGCTCTGACATGATGCAGATAGGCAGAAATGCATTGCCTGGCAGATCCCAGAGAATAAGTGTGACCATACAGACAGACAAGAATGAAGGCTGAGAATTCTTCTTTTTAGTCTTATTTTTTCTTTCCCAGTTTTATTTCTGGTAGTTGACTGTGTGTAAATCTGCTCTCTCATTCCCTGTCTGACTGCTTGTATGTTTGAATAGTGAGACCAATGACTCCAACAACCCTACAATAACAAACTGGTATATCTGGCTGGGTGTTCACTTGTGTTCCTGAAGTAGCCACTGAGTCATAACAGATCAGTACTTGTATATGCAAGGGAAGAAAAACAAATTCAGTGCCATTTAGAAAGAAAAAACAAACAACTTGGAACATATTAAACAGTGGGTGAGGAAAGAAACCAAACAAACCCCAGAAGATAATTTGTTATTGTCTTTTTAGTTTACGTTGTACTGAGATAAAGATACAGTCAAGAAAGTGGAGTTGTAGAAAAACAGGTTTGCAGCCAGTTGTGGCAATTTCATCACCACTATTGGAATAACAGTTGTGGGTAATAGGGGGAAAAACGTGATCTCAACTGTCTTAGAGGGGTGAAGATGGTGTTGTGCTAACACTAAATTGCTGACTTTCCTTTCTGTGGGCTGTGGAAGGGAAAAATAACAGCTAATTTTGCAATATCATGTGTATGTGCACAATGGGCCTTAATCTTTATGAATGGCATTAAATTTAGTCCAGCCACTGCAGTTAATGGCAATACCACATAAAGGATCAAGTGAGCATATTAGCAACTAAAAGTTGGGACATTGGGACTGCTGGTAGTGGAGAAACTCATAGTGTATTCACTATTGAGCATGTCTGGTGTATAAAACACATAATACACAGTAAACCTCTGTAGCCATCTGAACTGCCAGCTAGGTGTTACCAGTGCTGCTCAGTGTGACCAGGATTCTGGAAGTGCTGGTCATTTTTCTTGAAGACAGTGAAAAAATGAATGATATTGGTAAATCTCATCTTGAATTTTGGTTTTCTTCAGAAACACTTTGACTTCAGTTAAGATGTGGAAGACTGAAGTCATGGATCGTGCATATTTGCTCAGGCTTTTCTTAGAAGTTTACAAAAAGCAAGAAAAATAAGCATCTGTTCAGCAAATGTGTCAGGAAATCTGTCTAAATGCCTTTGCTGGAGGCTATTTTGAACAGACCTAGATACTTCAAATGAAGAAATCTGAATGACACTTGACATTGAGTTTTACCCTTGGTCTTTTCTTCTGCATCTGCATCTCCACCTCTGGTTTAGTGTGGCTTCATCTCTGACAGTAGTTCTCTCATTCCTTTTCTGTTGCTTCCTAACTTCATCTGGCTGTTGCAAATCTAAGGCTTGGAAAACCATCGTAGTTTTTGATATTTTCTTACCTGGCAATATGATCCTCACTTTATAAGATCCAGATACTGCAAAGGATTTTGGTTCTCTTGCCCTCCACTTCAGCCAGCAATAGAGCTATTTGAACTGAACTGTTACAAGAATCACAGCAGGGTAATGGTTTGGGTAGAAGCATGTGTCTGCCAAGCCCTCATCTAGCCTGGGGTTTGGAATACCTTCAGACCTCAGGTCACTTGGCATCTTGGTTTGTGGTTTGGACCATTAGAAGACAAACTCCATCTTGCAAAATGTCTTTCCACAATGCTGCTGTGTTAAATCTGGGTGCAAGGTTTAAGCCTCTCATCAATTAATTGGATTTGGATTCATGTAACATACTAAGTCCCACCTGATGCTCCTTTCCTTTTGCCTTTCATTTCAGCTACCTGAATGTTCCTGCCATGCAGGAGGCAGCTCAGTTCCTGGTGGGAACCCATGACTTCAGCACCTTTCGCTCTCTTGGCTCTGAAACACCTCTTCAGAGTCCAATCAGAACCGTCTTCCAGGTGGACATCCAGCCCTCCTCTGGTTTCCTGTCCCACCACTATGAACACAGGTGAGAGCCAAGATACTCAGCTGAGGAGCTGCTCTGCTCAGCTGGTGCTCTTTTTGTCTCAAAAGCTGCTTTCCACCACTGCTTTGGTAACTGACCTCCTGTTTGCTGTGCATTTGCTTCACAGCCCTGTGATGGTGTCAGCAGGGTTCTGCTTAGTGACAGCTTGGAAAGGACATTCATTTCCCTCTCCTCCACCATGTCCTCAGGGAAAAAGATGAGCAGGAATGAGGGAAGGGGAACTGGACAAGTTGTTTGTACATTAAAAGGCAGGATGTTATAAACTGGTGTATGGAATCTGGCACAGAGCAATTCCTATGAGGTGCTTCCAGAATTTACACTCATTTTGGTTGCTAAAGACCAGCTCTCCCAGGGGATGGGATTTTTCTGCCCCCTCTGCTTCTGTCCTAGCTTTGCCTAAGGGCTGCAAATAGATGGAAAACACCCACCCAACACCTAAGTCACTGCTGGAGCTATGCAGATCCACTTGGTTCACACCAGTAACTCCTACTGTCTTCCCAGGGGGTGCTGATGGAGGCAAGTCCAATATTCCTCAGTCATTACATAAACAAAAGATTGTGGAGTGTCAGGTTCCTTCAGGACCAGGTCTTGCAAGTATTGAAATGAAGTGGCTGGATAGATTTTCTCTCTAGCAGTAAATCAAGATTTTAGTTCCCAGAAAGATCATGGGTATTTATCATCTGATCAAGGCTTTCACTTTCATGCTGGCTTCTGTCAGAGATACGGCTGTTGTGTTTCAGCCTGAAAGCCAACCTTGCTCCTGTCTGTCTCCAAACCACATTTTCCTGCTTTCTGATTAGGAGGATACCCTTTTCTTTGTAGTTCCCCCCGCCCCAACCCTCCATTACATTTGAATACCTCCTGAGCTGTCTGTAAGTGCCGTGCTCCAAGCTTCAGCAGAGCCTCACTGCAGCTTGCAAATAGCCCCCTGTTTCTTTCCCCATGTCTTAGAATGGTTTATATTGCCATCAGTAATGTAAGATAAAAAACTGAAAGCTGAAAAATCACAGATCTGTATGTTCAGGGTATCCCTGGGCTTTCAGTTCTTCCTGTCCTGTTGGATTCCTGCTTTTCCTACTCAGTGCTGGTGCCTGTCAATACACAGGCACATTATAAAGAACCAGCCAGTTGGGTATGGCACTTGCACTGCTACAGCACAAGGATGTGGCAGCTAATGCCAGGTGTAAATGTTTGTTTGCCACTTTCTTGCAGCTAAGCAGCGCTGTCCCCATGGGATAAGGAAGGCTGGAGAGGAAAACGGGTGCTGTCCTGTGGCTGCATTCCTGCCATTCGTTATTGGCTTGCTGTTGCTTAATGGAGAGCTTGGGCTCCCTCCATCCAGTGTGGTTATGTTTAGGGACACAAGTAACAGTGAAATGTTTTATCCACAAGATTATCTTGTCCTTTATGATACAGAGAAGTATTGTAAGTGGCAGAGTCAGTGAGCTAACCTGAAAATAACCATTAACAGTCACCTGTGAGTATGAACCAAGTTTCCTTCCAAATCCAGACCTGCTCTTGTCAGTTGACTCATCTCAGATATAATATGGATCTGCTCCTTTATCCCTTTGATTTTAATGTAAAAAAGGGAAATTGCCATTCTTTGCATAACTTGCTGCAGAAACCTATCCCACATGAGGCCAAAAACAGCTCATGAGGGAGGGAGAGAGCAAACCTAAAATCTGGATCCAAAGCATCAAGCTGCTGATGGAATATTTTTGCTTTTGGTGACACACGGAGCCAAACTTGTGTTTTATAGTGAGTCATTGTTATAATGTGTCAATATTAATTGATTTAATGTATGTTTAGGCTGTAGGGGATGGCTGTGAAAAGCCTGGTTTCAATGCATTAAAATGGCATTTAACTCTCTTAAAAGACTTTGTTATAACCACAGCTGTGATTTTTCTGCTCTGAAGGTTGTAAGATTGGCCCTTGTGAAAGGAGAGGTGGTGTTAGGGGGTTTCTTTGTTTGGGGGGGTTTTAATTACAGTGTCCTAATTACTTTTAATCTGTAAACTTCTCCCTGTGGGAACAGATCCAGTCTGGAGCTGGGTGTTTGTTTGCCCATTCTGCAAAGACGACAACAAATACGCCTCAAGTGCATCTGTATTTCTTCACTGCAGTAGCAGAATGATCTGTTCCTGCAATGAAAGGGCTGGGGTAGCATTGAAAACTTACAAATAGGTATTTATTGTTTTTCTAGCCTGATCTAAGGAGGTTTATTTTCCATTTTGGAGGGAGAAATCCATAGAATAATGGTCTCTTAGTCCAATAATGCAGCTTTTCTTCCTTGTCCTTTCCTTTCTTTCTGAACTTAATCCAATCTTCTGAATTGACCGCTTGTCTGTGTAAAAGGCTAACTGTTAAAAAGATTCCTTCCATCAAACTCAGTTGCTCAGCAACAGTGGAAGTGGAATTAGTGCCCCATCCATACAAAAATGCTTTTGAATGCTCAGGATGTGTTGAGGGGCTCAGCCCCATCACTTCTTCTTAGGGAGTGATTGCTCTGTCACCTGTGTTTGAGCAGGATATGTATTATTCATTGCAAGGTGCTGGCTTCTGCTGCCAAGTGGAAAAAGACAGCTGGATTTTTTTGCTGGTAAGCAAATTATCTGTGAGATTGGCAAGAAAAACCAAAGTTTGCTTCTTTAAGAAGAGTATCTTGTTCTTTTTCAGAGGCTACAAGATGTTTTTCCTAAGTATCTCACCCCATCTTTTGTAACTTGATAGACCTTGTCAGGAGACCTGAGCAGGAGAATCCTGGCTAAGGAAGGTGCATGCAGGTTGATGAGAGGGGCATTTGTTGCTGTAAATTGTCCCTTGTGCATTGCTGAAGAGCTGAGCTGAATTGTCACCTTGAAGTGTTGGGTGTTTGCACGTGTGTAGCAATGCACATGCCTGTGTGCCATGTGCATCAAGCTGGGGGAGAGCAGAGTGTAGGTAAGTGATAGAGACACTGTCATTCCCTGACATAGAAGAATCTGGGGGCAGGAGCTGCCTTTTCATATTCCAACAGACGTGACAGGGAGGGCTAAAAGCAGTAATTTATCTGTAAATCCTAGGAGAAAACAGCTTGTAGCTGCTCCCTGCAGTGACTGTTTGCCCTGATGCCCCGTGTGGGCCTGTGAGTCAGGTTGTCCCAGCTTCACCTTCCTTCTATGGCCCGTCCCAGGGACTGGGCAGCCCTTTCTCCATACTCAGGTGTTTCCAGCAATCCCAGCCTGTCCCTCTGAAGCCCAGACAAACAACTGGGCTTTTCTCACACCTGATGGAAATCTCCACAGCCCTTTGATGCCCAGTTACTGGGCTCATTGCAGGGCAGGAGAGGAGAGGGTTTGCACTGAAATACGTGCTTTTCTGGGTTATGCAAGGTAAGCTTTGTCTCTCTTTGCTGAAGGAATGCTATTTGATGTAAGGAGCACTTATAAGCTGTTAGTGAGTTTATTTTTTATTGTTACTTTTACCTAAGTGACTTTTAGAACTGATTGTAGCATGGAAGCTTGGGCACACAGGTACTGAAGTGAAAACCTCATTTCTGTGCCCTGCTTGATATCTGATGGATGAAACCCACGTGTGCATGTTTTTATGTGTATCTGATGTGCACAGCAGACTTTTCTTTCTGTCTGTGGGAAGGAAATGTGCATATGGGTTCTTTCCTGCAGGGCCCTTCCTGAGAAGGGGTTTGCACTGGGGTTTAGTGTTACGTTAGAGCTGTTCATGGAACATCAGCAAAGCCTCAGAGTTGTTTCAGAGTAGCTTGTAAGGATGCAGCAGAATGAAGCTGAAGTGAGCCTCAACAGAGTTCTGATAAGGAATATTGGTTGCTACCACAGGACTTTCTGGAAAGTGGGACCTATATGAACAGATTTGGTGAGGGGGGATGAGGTCTTTCTGCATAGCAGTACCTGTCCATCCCCAGATATTCACCTGCTGTTTCCTACTCACTCTTAGCCTGGAATGCTTTCTTGTCTGCCATTGCCTGTGTTCTGATGCTGCAGCTGGATTCCTCAGGCTCCTGACTTGCATGTCCTGCCTTTTCCGGTAGCATGTGGATGTCACAGTAGGCATTGCTGAGTGTTGAAATGCAGTCTGCAAAGCCTGTTAGGACCACATGACTCTCTCAAACCAGCTCCCAGTAAAATGGTGGAGTTGTTTTTCTATGGTTGGTTCTTCCTTTCCCCAGGAGACATCAGGCTGCATTCCTCAAAGCAGTAGCACCTTAGCAGGGTGGGAAGTTTCACCTTGCTTTATGTTGCCCTTCCCCTTTTACTTGGATGGATTTTAACTTGGGTGTGAGGCAGAAGATCAAGCCCCATACAACTACTGCATACAAAAAGGCAGGAATTGTTTCACCCCAGAAACTATCTGCAGCTGAGTAGCAAATGAACAGTCTGGTTGCAAAGGCTCATGATGCTGGTTCAGGTTAATTGAGGGCTGTGCAGCTTCTCATTCATCGTACTCGCATTCACCTGCGGTTTATATTTCTCTGGGGGGGTAGAAGAGCCATTTGAAATGTGATTTTAAATGCTGGTTTTGTTCCTTTCTATAGGGGACTGGAGTTTTGGGAGTTGAAGTTCAGGAGCAGATCCTTTCTTTACCGCCAGGTACTGTTTGGTGCTGGATTCAGCACACACTTTGCCTCCAAGAACCAAACCTGTAACTGTTGATCGGTTTAGCATTGTTGCATGCCTGTGTAGTGCCATCTCTGTTGTGGAGCTGGTGGTGTAGCTGTGTGACACACGGAGGGACCTGCCATCAGAGAAGTGAGGTTCTGTGTTCTTTGGTTGATCTGGTAGAACCAGAATCTCTTAATTTTATGTCTAAAATGAATGTCCGAAGTCACAGAATCATGTGGGAGGATGGAAAGTTTTGTTTTCTACGATCTTTGTCCTTGCAGTCTGAGCAATGAAACCCAACAGACATATGTTCCTGCTCTGCTGAATGGCACCGGGCCCAGCAAAAGACTGCCTGGAATTTTACTTTCTGGCTTTGGAGCATGAAGTAATTGTCAGTGTTGCACAAAGGAGAGATGGGAAGACCTGATTCAGCTATGCAGGCATGGCTGCAGGATCTTTCCCTCTACCATGCTGTCTGGTCTCTGCTGGCTTTTCTTTGAAATAACTCCAGTGGGGTTTTTAGTGCTGTCCTCAGGGGAGACAGCTCTCCACAACTTAATGGATCACCTCATTAGGAAAGAGTTGGCTGTTCTCAGTCTGCCTGTCCTGGCCATGGTCACACTCTGGAGACCGAGAAGAGGCAAGAGAGGGCTTGTTTTCTGAAGGCGAGAGGGGGTGTTTTGTGGGAACAGCAAGCAGCTATTTTTTATCCTGTTTTGACAAACCAAATTTGGTTTTATCCTGTGCCAAGTAATGCTCTGTGAGCTCCCTGACAGTGGGTGTCTGGCTGTGAGCAAGGGAAGAACAACAACGTGCTTGAGAAGGGCTTGATATACAGCAGGGATTTGCTCCATCGGATGCTCTTGTGACAAGGAGAAAATGCTGGTAACCCATTTAGTGCATTAGGAACGGAAATGCTACTTAATGGCACTGTGCAGAGAGAACAGCTACCCATAATACTCAGCTCATGCGCTCTCTGAGCCTTGTTCAGTGAGCTGTCAGGTGAGGGTGAAACAGGAACAGGCTGTGTGTGCACTGAGTCTGCGCTCTCCTACCTCAGCATCTGCTCCTGCCCTCCATCATAAAGAGAAGACTGGACCAGATGGACCTCTGGTCTCACCTCACAGAGCTGCTGTAAGTGCTGGCAGTGGACTTTTCTGTTAAGAGAGCAGGAGTAAATAGCCCCAGACACTGTCTGTATATGTTTTTGCTGACTAGCAGGCAGAAGGGGAGACACCAAGCACATGGCTAATTCAAATGCGTACCATTAGGCTGCGTTTATGCTAGCTAACTCCAAATGTGGAGACATCAAAGCTAAAGTCACAGCATAGGATGACCTCTAGTGAGGGCTGGGTAAAATAACATATGGCCAGGATCTGTGCTGCTTCTCTGTGCCATCTGCTTAAAGGCAGGCTCTTGGCACTCCACAGTGCAATGTGAGATCAGAGCACATAAGGAGACACAGTGCTTGCCTTTGGGTAAATACATCTTGGTGGTTGGACCTTTCTCATGAGCAGTGGTAATCATGGTCAGGTTGCTTAGAGGATTTTGGTTTATTCTGTTGTAGATGTTACTGGATCAGACACTTAGACCAGTGCTTCTTTACAGCACTACATTAAGTTTTTTGAGAGCTTAATGTACTTTGAAAGGTCATGAAGAGGAAAACATCACAAGGAGAACATGGGGAATAACCTCCCCAGGGAAGTGGTGACTTTGACTTTTAGGATTCAGCTGGACAGGGTGCTGGGACATCTAGGCTAGGTCATGCTTTGCCTGCAGGACAGTTCTTCCAGTGAGCATGGACAAAAGTCACTAGGAGATGGTGACATTGGGATGGCTTGGGATCAGCCCCTGGCAAGAGCTGAGTTTCAGTGTGGCTCCTCTGTCAAATAATACTTGGTCCCAGCAAACCTGTGGCATGTTGCCTTAGGCTGTGTGAGCTCTCCTGTGGAAATGGGTACAGGTGAGCCCAGGGGAAGTGCTGGCAGGTTCTAGGAGGTTCAGCTCTTGCCTGGCCAGATACCTGCAGCAGGTACAAGTCTTGGCCCTCCTGGAACAGCATGTCCTCTTGATACAGAGGAAAGAGTGGGTTTTGCCAGGAGGATGCTGAAGTACAAAGGGTGCTTATGCAGGAGGTGAGGGCCATGGTGTGAAACTTGTGCTAACCCACTGGGTCTGGAATTGCTGCTTGTGGAAGAAGGGAAGTTGTGACATGCAGAGGTGTTTGAAATACCACTTTGCTGCACAGGGGTGTGTTGTCTTATGCTGTCCTACTTGGGTTTGGGTTTTTCTCTGTTTTTGTACTTTCTGAGAGAGAAGTGAGCCCCTACATAGTTGCTTATGTGTTAAGAACCTGTGAGCTCAGCTCTCCCAGCATGTATGTGAGCTTCCTGCCACAGACAGATGTGTGGGTGCTGCTCTTGTTTCTGAAATGGAAACCATCCCCTGCTCAGCTTCCCACGTGTGGTGAGAACAAGACCTGCTCCAAGGTAGTGCTGTGTAGCTGGAGGCCATTGTGTTGCAGGTCCTCATCTCACTCATATAAATGACTTTAATTGTCCCTCCCCTACCACCAGCTTTGGTCACTAGAAGATGCTATGCTGCTGCTCGTTGCAGACAAGCTTAGTGTGTCACCCCCATCAGCACAGATCCTAGGCAGTCCACGCAATCCCTGCTAAAGGGGAAGGAAAACCTTTCCTCTGCAGGCTGTGGGGTGACTGTGACTGCTAGATAATAAGGCAGAAGCTCTTCCCTGTGAGGGTGCTGAGGCGCTGGCACAGGGTGCCCAGAGAAGCTGTGGCTGCCCCATCCCTGGCAGTGTTCAAGGCCAGGTTGGACACAGGGGCTTGGAGCAAGCTGCTCCAGTGGAAGGGGTCCCTGCCCATGGCAGGGGTAGGGACTGGGTGAGCTTTAAGCTCCCTTCAACCCAAACCAGTCTGGGATTGTGTCATGATCTTTTTGAAGAAAGTAAGTGAGCACTGGAGCTGCTCCTGGAGGTCTGCGATACCAAAGGCATACAAGGGGCAGCCAGGACTGGTTTGAACCCTGATGAATGAGCCTGGGCTGTGACTTGGGATATTTCTTGGGATGCTACTTGGAATACTGGCACCTAAAACAAGGGGCAAAATATTCTTTATGTGAGGGAAGTGCTTGCTTCTTTGTTAACACCCAGCTGGACTAGAAGCAGCCATGGCAGTGGGAGCATCTGGTAGTATTAGGGAGAGTAGAGGAATACCAGAAATCAGGTGTTCTGGGAACTATGGGTGTAATAATAATGATGTACCTGTATTCAGGAGCAAACCCATATTAATAAATCATGGTGCTATCAGTCTTTTCTGAGTGAAAGACGCTGAACTGTGATTAGGTTTCTAGCTTTACCTGCTATCGGTACTAACTGTGGACTGTTAAACAGCGCAGTACTAATAGCAGGGCTCAACAGAACTTTCTGGACTCACTCAGTTTTCCAAGGGCAGCTCCTAAGCTGTGTTCTCTGTTGTTCCAGGTCCGAAGGATGGTTGGGGCTCTCGTTGCAGTTGGCCAGGGCAAGTTAACGCCTCATCGTATAAAGGAGTTACTGGAGTTAAAAGACTCAAGGGCTTTTCCACCAAACGCCATGGCTCCTCCATCTGGACTCTTCCTGAAATCTGTGGAATACAGTGAAGCAGGTGGGTGGATGCAGGGATTGGCATGATTTCTGTGGGAGTCAGATCTAACACTGCAACACCCACAGTCTCCCTTTGTGTGCTGTCAGACCTGTGGCTCACAGCTTTGCTCATTGACACCCGCATTACAGTGACCCCCCCGGGCTGCAGAGGTGTGTGTGCAGCATAGCTGCTATGGAAGAATGGTGTAGTGGTTTTCCTGGTAGGTTTTTTCCTCTTACTTTCAGGTTAGCAAAAGAGCAGTTATGTTGACAATGGCTCTGAGGTCTCACATGGGTGATACTTGAAGTTCTCATAACTTGTTCTGTCCCTGACCATGTATAAAGATCAAACCTTCTGTGGCATCTGGGCACCTACAGATCCATTCCTGTTCCCTCCCTTCTCCCTTGCTGTGTATGGGGGGATTGTAGAGGCTGGAGGACAGAGAGCCCATCATCCTGTTGCTTATCTGGTGACTCTCTGTGTCAGTGGGGAGGGTGCCCAGGCAGGAAGGGAAGACCACAGATTTGAAGTGCTTTCAGGTGCTTCCAGTGCCATCCTTTTTTTCCTAAATCAATGTTTTCTGTTTCTTCCTCTCAGATTTGGACACTACAGCGGCCCCAGCAGAATAGCAGCTCTGTGAGATACAGAAAGGACTGCTGAGGATGTGGGATGGAGGTTTGCCAAGTGCTCTTTACACAGTACACAATCTTGTCTCAATAAAAACCATTGACTGTGGCTGTGGGCATCTTCCAGTCATTTGTTCTTGCCCTCTGAGACTGCCAAGGGGAAAGGAAGAACAACTCCATGCTGCTTTTAGATAACTGCTGTTGTGCTCTCTCTTCTGCTTCTGTGTTTGTCGCTCAAACAGGAGGAGGAAGGAGTGGGGTTTGGGGTTTTTGTGTGTAGGTTTATCTACTTTTTGTATCCCTTCTGTGGTGTGTGTGTGTGTGAGAGGAATACAGGCTTAGAACAGAGGAGAATGTAGCATTTCCTCTCGGGCCTCCTCCTCTGTGACCCTTTGTACAGCATAGTGCAAGGGACAACTGTTGCTGTTTGATGCAGTGACTTACTGAAACGGCCTTTGAAAGTCTTTGCCATTTCCTCTCCTCATCAGCAGTCACTCTTGTGCTGAACTGTAGTGACTTTTACATTATCCTGGTACAGAGTGATGTCTGTTGCAGCGAGGATGTGGTGTGGTACAGACCAAAGTTCCTTTGAGGTCCCTTAAAACCTATTTTAATGGTCACAGCCTGGACTAGTAGCACAGGAACAACTCTATGAGCCTGACCATGAAATGGAACCTGTGTGGGACCAGGACCTAGAAGGTGGCTGCCACCATTGCTAGCTTCAATTTGCTTGTTGCTTGCTACCTTCTGCTCTTTCAGAGCTGGTGAGCAGTGAGCGAAGGGTGGGTGAATCATGGTGTGGAGTACGGAGTAGAGAGATTTCTTTATTCCTTTTCCCCCCTTTTTCTTTCCAAACCACTTTAACCTCAGGTCTCGCCTGCTGGCTCAAGCAGTCGAACACACATTGGGTAACCTGTGGGTTGTTCTTCTCATAAAGGATACCAGAATCTGTTTTGGTTATACAATAACTGTTTTTAAAGTACCAGTTACAGGAAAGATGATGACGATTTTGACTTCTGAAGCTCAGAGAAGAAACAACACCTGGTGTAAGCACTCCACAGTGGAAACAATGTGCAGCTGAGGTGCCTGATACCACCATAACTGACCTCCCCTTTGTCCATGGGAGGAGGAGAGTTACAGAGCAGACAGCACAGTTGAGGACTCTGGAGTTTTGGGTCTCTTTGCTTGGTGGAAAGCCACAAGGTAAGCAGAAGAAAAGGCAGTGGTTCTTTTTGACCACTCTTAAGGCCACCCTTGCCTTGGTGATGGGAATTGAGTTAGTTGGTAGCCCTGATACAGAGCATGAGGACAGCCTGTTTCTGGGTGTCCCTTCATGAGAAGGGATTCATCTTTTCCCAACTCTGTTCCAGGTAGCAGTTTTGCCAGAGACCTGCTTTTGACAGCATGGGAAGGAAAGGCAGGATACCTCCAGTTACCCTCCCTTCCCACAGAGGATGCCAAGTGGTAGCTGCTTTACTCCCACAGGGACCAACTCCCAAAGAAGACAACAGAACCTTGGGGGAGCTCTGGGGTTCCTCCATGGAAAAGGAGGGTTGAGGCTGCTCTGTTGGTGGAGTGGTACCTGTTTGTGCTTTTCTGGCCCAGCCTTGCTGGGTAAGCAGCCAAAGGTGGGGATGCTGTAACACACTGCAGTGATTTTTCCAACATAAGCCCAGCTCCAGACCTTAAATGCATCCATGTGGTTAGACAGTGATTTGCCTGAGCAAAGTCTTGCTCTTCCTCCCTTTGGAGGGAAGTGAGAGTGCAGCCCCAGGCCCATTTCAGATGTCTTGGACTGAAGCACTGGTGCTTGGTTCCACAAAGGCTGGAGGGCAGGATGGGTGGGAGGTGATGGAGGAGCTTTGTGTGGGAGCGTGGATATGTGGAGAGAACTAAAGCCCACACAGGTACTGGCCATGGGCTGTGCTCTCCTGGCTCCAGGAGTGGGGCCAGTGCTCTCCCTTGGAGCTGAGTGACAGCTCTTCATCTTTGCTTCCTGTGGTTTCTTTCTCTAGAGCAACGCAGCAGAGCTGTGCAGTGCATCTTGCAGGGCAGCACGCTCTGCTGTTACAGCCCCTACGCGGACGAGCTCAGCAGTGACCTCGCGGTTGTGAGGACTCTTTGGAGAGCCCAGCGTGCTCATGTGCAGCTTTGGTGTGAGAGGTGATCTGAGCTCTGGTAAGTCAACTTTCGAACTAAATCTATTCTAGGACAGAAAACCAAACCAAATCCTCCTGCTGTTTGGGCGTTAATGAAGCCAGCTGCTGCTACAGGCTCAGGTACAGCTGCTTTGTGATAGTCATGGTGCAAAAATCCCTGCTATGGGATGTGTCTGGAAACGTGTCCCAGCTTCTGGTTACAATAAAAACCTGTCACTCTTTGGGCTTGTTACCAAATCCAGTGAGTGAGCAGCAGGCTCAGCTGTGGAGGCAGTGGCCCAGACACAGACTGGCTGACTCTGCAGTTAGCACAGCGCTGTTGTCAGCTCCTGCTTTGCTTTTTAAATCCCAGAGCTACTGTTAAAAATAACCTGAAGATGTTTAATTAAAGAACACGCTCTCTTTAGCATCACAGAATGTACCAGCAGTGGGGAACTTCTGTACAAACTCAGAGCCATTTCTGTCATATCCATCATTAATACTTGTGACTTGTGATTGAGGGGAATCCAGCATTCTTCTCCTTTTTATGTCGGTGCATTACTAATTCTATTCAGTTGATGCAATCTGGACATCCAGTCCAGGGGCAGGTCTCTGTGTCTGATTGTTTGACAGTGATGCTTTAGAATTAAACCCAGAAAAACCTCACACTTGAGCAGAGTTCAAAGACTCAAGCTTGGGTTTTCTATGCAAACGCGTCTAATAATTTAATGCACTCAGGATCCAGTGGAAACTTTGATGTAGGCTTTTGTGTGGTTTTGTAAATCAAATAACTTTGTGCAGAAATAGTTCAGTGATGCTTTTGGGTTGTCTGGAAGAAATAACAGCCCTCCCTGCCCCAAAAATCCCAGACAAGCCCCACCAGACCCACGCTGAGGAGGCAAGGCTGGATTTGGGACTGATCAGAGTAGTTTTTAACATGGTGGGTGAAGGGTACATTACAAGAAGAGGTGGAAGTGGCTGTGTACTTGGCAAATACATGCTTATTATAGACTCTGTCGCTTCTATTGCCTCTTACAGAGAGCAAAAGTGTTCTCAAACAAATGGATGTGCCGTGGTGGGGTCCTGCAGTGTGTATGTGACTGTTTGGGGCAGGGTAGAAGAATGACTTGTAAATGACTTGTGCTTGACTTGTGGGGCGCAGCAGCCAACCCATCCCCTGGGCCTGTCCTGCCCCATTAATGGCTCCACAGACCACCTCTTTCCCTAGTTGCAAGGCTTTACTCTGGCACTAGACAAGATGGATGTTCAGTGGCTCTTGCTCTGGCAAAACCCAGGGATAAAGGTTGTTTCAAGCCCTGTGCTGCTTAAGTTACAGCTGACCTGTGCCTGGTTTTGTGTTCATTTTCCTGTGTGTGCACAACCCCTTTACTATGAGGTGCAAGACCTATGTAAGCACATATATAAAGTGAAAACTCATCTTTTCCCTTTCTGATCTTCCACATATTTTGGGTGCTTTTGACTTCACCAGATAAACAGCTCTTGGGAGGAAGTGTGATTTCAGAGTTTCCTTTGGAAAGCACCCAGCACCCTTTGTGGGTTTGTGCTGGCCATGGCTCAGTTTAGGAACATTGTGCATACTGGAGCTGGGTTTAATTTCTCTGTTAGTGACATCTGTTCAGGTGTCTGTGTTTGGCTCAGTTACTGAAATGTCTTTTATATTTGATGGAGAGAAACTGCTCTGCTGGAGCAGCATTGCTTGCATGGTGCGAGTGACCTGGATGAGGAGTCTGCTCGTACAGCGCCTCCTTCCTGTATGTCAGACACACAAACCAGTCCTTACCCTACACCAACTACCTGTTTCTGTTCTGTGCTTTAAATACTGATTCTTAGCAGGAAGGTTCCACACATGCAGCACAAAGTAAAGCAGTTCAGCATTGCTGCTTCTGGTGTTTCAGTGTTGCCACCTTGTGATGGTTTTAATGCCAGTGTCAAAGCAGAGTTGCTGCTGTGCAAACTTCAGATGCTTGTGGTTTAAATTAGTTATTCTCCCTTCCAGCAACACCACCTCCCACCTGAACACACTGAGCAGAGACATCACCAAGGCTCCACATCGCTGTTGAGAGGCTTCAGCTCTTACCCACTCAAGATGAAATCAGACACAAGAACCTCCTGAGGTAAGGGGTGGTTTAAGACTCATACCCCATGTTGGATGTCCCCCCAGCAGAAATCATGGCAGGCATTTCCTGGACTGAAGGAGTCTCCAATGAGACAGGTGCCAATTCCAGTGCAGAATTCCATTTGGAAGCAGACTTCCAGTATTCCTTGTTTACTGTCATCTACAGCTTCGTCTTCGTGCTGGGTCTGATAGAGAATGTGTTGGCTCTGTACCTGCTGTCCTGCAGGGCAAAGCACACTTCCCGTTCCTATGTGTACATGATTAATCTAGTTCTGGTGGACACCTTGTTTGTGTGTGTGTTGCCTTTCAAAATTCATTACCACCTGAATGGGAACAACTGGATCTTTGGGGACATAGCCTGTAGGATAACTGGGACTCTGTACTACATCAACATCTGCCTCAGCATCGCCTTTTTCACCTGCATCTGCGTGGACCGCTACATCGCGGTGTTGCACCCCTTCACCTACATCCACATCAGGGTCATCCATTACGTGGTGGTGGTCACAGTGCTCTGGGTGGTCGCTCTGAGCATCATGGTCCCACTCATCCTCGGAGGTCCCCTCCACAGCAGGGGTGTGGGGAACACAGTAGTATGTTTTGAGAACTTTGCCACCAGCAGCTGGACTTCCCGCATGACAACTTACAACATCCTGGCCTTGGTGTTCGGGTTTGTGATCCCATTTTCCATCATTCTGATCAGCTACCCTCTCATTGCCAAGAGGATCTCCTGCATCAAAAGCAGCATTCACAAGAGGAAGGCCCTGAGCACCATCTACATCATCCTGGTCATTTGTACTTTGTGCTTTCTCCCCTATCACCTCACTCACCTGCTCCACTTCCTGATGAGAACCCAGGTCATCCAGAACAAGGCATTTGCCAACTTGATCTACAAGATGCGGAAGGTCACCCTGGCCCTGGTGAGCTTCAACTGCTGCCTTAACCCACTCCTGTACTACTTCAACTCCTCTAGCAGGCAGTGGCACTTCAACTTCAAGCTCAGATCCAGGCCTCAAGTGGTGTTTACCATCTGTGACCAGAAACTTGGGGAGTTCTCCTATGTTTATAAACTGCATCAGAGAGACGGAGATGGAAAATAGAGATGGAATCAACTGAGCTGCTTGCAGTAAGTACACTATTCATCTTTCGAGCTGTCCCTTCAAAACCGAGCCTGTAACCCTACCCTTTCTTCATACAGGGCTGTTACATCCAAGGCCACACTGGAGGGAGGTGCCTAACAACTTAGTGTTTGGATTAGCCAACAGGAGCTGTGTTCTCTGCAGTCCTGCCTAGCACACACTGTGTTTATGTACACTGATGTTTTGATCTCCTTTTTGTTTAACATTGGGTCGGCAGGAGAACACAAGGCTCTTCTGGAATGCCATGCAGCCCAGGAAAGGCTTATGTGAAAGAAACCAGCCTGCTGCTGGAGTGGATCAGGGCTGTCCTGCTTGGCTTTTCCCATTTTGGAGGGATCTTCCCTCCCGGGGGGCACACCAGAGCCAGCTGGGTTCACAAACTGCTTTCTGCCTACATTCCACAGCCAAATAAGGGCTTCTCATCCCTCCTTCCCAAGGAGGACAGGGTTTCCAGGGTTGTGCACCCATGGGTTCAAGCTGGACATCTGTTAACACAGGTTTAGCTGATGGCAGATCCAAGAAGTTACCGGTCAGTTAACCCTGTGCAAGACCAGCAGTGAACAGGCTGCTCTGACCACATGGTTGTCAAGGGAAGGCCTCGATGCCAGCACAGCTCCTGCTGCAGTGCAGTCCTGTGCAGCCATCACAGTTTGTGATTATAAACCACAACACCTAACCTATCTATCTCCCCCCTTCTGTTAACAGCCACACACAGCTTCTGAGAACTGCTGCGTTTTTTCCACCCTGTGAGACTGTGGAGAGAATTTATCATGTGGGGGTTTCAGAAGCACCAGGAACCCACTGGCCAGGCTGATAAACTGCTTAACAGCCAACAAGATTCTGAAGATGATGTTGATTTGGTAACAGATACAGACTGTGTGCTCTGTTCCTTCCCACGCCACTCCCAGCTCTATGAAGTGTGTGTATGTACTGACTGCTGAGCGGAGGACTGCAAAGGGAAGGTGGCCTAGGGCCTGCTGACCAGGGCAGGAGGAGGGCCTAGCTCTGGCAACGGGCTGAATCCGTGTTTCCATTTCCAAATGTGCAGACTGCAGGTTGAAGGTGACACTTGGACCTGTGAATGTCACAACAAGCGTTGGGGTTCGTGGGTTATGCTGTGTTATTGGAACAGGAACTGCTGTGGACCTTAAAGGAGGGAGGGAGTGGGATCATGGGGCAGAATGGTGTGGGGAGATCAGTGATTGTATGTGTCTACATGATGTTGTAACTTCTCTTTCCACAACGGTTGCTCTGCCCATTCTCTGATGGCAGCTGCTACTCTGCTTCAGGTCAGAGGTAAGAGGGTTGGAAAATAAGCAGCACGGGTGTAGGGGTATGTTGGGGTCTTGGGTGATGGGAAACCATCCATGCACGATGGTGGTAGGCCAAGGGTCTTGCATTTGGAGACTGTATTGATCAGCTAAAGCTGATCACTGAACCACTTCAGCAATAGAAGATGGATGCAGCGAGCAACCCAAGAACAGATGTGAAATCACTGTAATAGAGCTAAAGCTTTGTAACAAATGGCTTTTGTGGATGCATTTGTTGGGATGGGCCTGACTTGCATTAGTTATGAGTTACTGCTACCTGCAGTTTGAATCCCATAGAGTGGGTCTGTGTTTAATGATGGGTCAGTGACTGACCTCCCCCTTCCCATGCTCTGCTTTTAGCCTGCAGGAGTTATTAAGTATCAGTAGCAAACCTGCTCAAGCTCTTCTAAAAAGCTGAGGATTCCTGAGTTCCTGTGCTTGATGGGGTTGGTAAGACAAGTGCAAATCCCGGCACTTGGAAATGGAGCCGAGGAACGCCTCCATGGGAGTATTAGAACAAACTAATCCTTTACCTTTCATGAGAGACTGCTATTTTTGTCCCATTTATAGGCTATGGAGAAGCCTCCCAGCACTGGAGGGACTGTTCCTTCCACCTAAGCACAATCTTTATGTTCTGCACAAAGGCAAAAACTAATTCTGAGCCTCCATCCAGAAGTGCAGCTTTCCTGCAGGCTGGCAGCTGCCATGGAGGGAAGTATGGGTAAGGAAATGTTACACTGCTGGGTAAAGAGCAGGGTTAGGGGGTTATTCTCTTGCCTCCATTATAGGGTGCATGTTAGTTGTGATGCTTTGAAAGCTCCTTGTTTCACTGCTGAGGGTTTAAGGGAAAGGAGCTTAAAGAGCATCTCTTACAGTGTGAGCAGCACTAAAGGTGTCCTCACAACTCTAAAGCTGCAGTGACCCCTGGCCCAGGTCTCCAGCGTGGTGCTGCTGAAGGGTGTAGGCAGGCACTGCACAAACACTGTAATTCCTTTACTAAAACAAAGCCATTAAAAAGCATTGACAGGGTAATAACCAAAATAAACCTGACTCTCTCTGAAGCACTCCTGGGAGTGGTGCCCTTGGGGGGGCTCACGCTGTGCTCTGGGGGAGTCCTTTCTTCAGAAGGGAGGTGAGATAGCTGCCCAGTTCTTCGTCCTAGAGAGAGCAGAACAGAGAGAGACGGGATGAAAGCAGTCATCTGCTTGACTTGGCCCTGTGGGCAGTAAATTCAACTCTGGTACCTAGAAATAGACTGAAGTAATTCTAATGTTAGCAGTGTTCATAAATGGAAGCAGTCCAGGCAGCACAGATGTATTTCTGGGTGTTCTTTCATAATATCAATGCAAAACTCCCTTTGGCAAAGCAGGTGTCTGGGCTTGAGGTACCCCTTTTGAGGAAAATGACCTTTTGTCTTGAAAAAGGATACAGAACCATTGATTTTTTTTTTTACCTTTTTTTCCTTTTTTTGCCCTCAAGAAGGCAGCTCTTTGCTGTAAAAGCATCTAAAAACGTAGCCTGAGAAGTACAATTTTGAAAGGAAGAAAGATCAGACTACAGCTGATGTTACCACTGGTTTGTGTTATCCTGCTTTCTGCTTCTTGTTCACACCTAACAGATACAATGTCAAATACCTCCAAGCTATGGCAGTACTGGTGTAGCTCAGATTAGAAGCTGGGTACTGTAATGTCCTCAAACCACAGATATAATTGTAATTAACTTGTAATTAAATAATTGGTTAAGTACATCTTGAAGAATTCCAACCTGGTAGGTCCAGGACACGAGCAGAACTTTGGTTCCTTGATCCTCGGAGTGTGCCGTGGCTTGGATAAGAATGGACTCCACTGTTATAGACCCATCAGGGAGATGCTGCACTGAGTAATCTTTCAGGACCCTGGTAAGAGAGAAGATAGAGGATTTAGTTTGGATGGGACATGTGTGCAGGCTGAAGGGTGGTCTCCCCTGTACCTCTGAATCCCCAACACCAATGTGTTCACAGTGGAGAATGGGGCTGATTTATAACTTATTTTGGTGCTTATATTAATCACGTAGCATTTCCTATAGAACTTATTTCTGGCTCTCATGATGTGTATGGCTCCAGGCTGAACCCTGTTCATCCAAGCAAAGGACTACTCAAAACTGACCAGCTGCCTGTAGGAAGTGTTTAAGGTTCATGTGCTGCAGCTACTGAATAGCTGTAAGAGGTGTCTTGACCCTGCACTTGATACTCTCTCTCTCTAAACAATTGTACTAACTTCAGGTAGAAGCAGCAGTGAGAGCAGCAAGGCAACAGGAACAAAGATTTGGGGTGTTCTGCCTATAGCCTGGTAAAGAGCAGGAGCTGGAAGTGATGACCAACCTCTGCCACTGCAGTGTATCCACTGCTCTGGTTATGGGATCTACACAGACTCAAATCTAGAGCAGTTGAGTCTTTTGGGCTGCAGAGACTTTTCTCCTTGTAACTCAGGGGCAGAAAGGAGGGAGCATTTGAGCTTATCACTCTTAATATAGGTGGTATAAGTCCATGCCTAGGGGGGAGAACCACAGAGAGGTGAGGCTGGCCTCACCCTTTGAGGTGGTTGTACACACGCAGCACCGTCTCGTGCTCCTTCCGCGGGTCCTGGATGTGGACGCGGCAGGTAAAGCGCAGCTGATGTTCCGCCAGGCCCAGCTCCTTCAGAGCCTGCTCGGGGGAAAGCAGGCGGAAGCTCTGCAGAGGGAAAGCACAAACCCATTACAGGGTGTTTGTGAAGCTCTGGTCCTCCTCGTGTCCGTCACTGGGAACCCCAGCAGGTAACATCGCTCCCTTTCTACCTCTGAAATGCCTCGGGCAGCAGTAACAGCGAGGCACGAGCCTATGACAGGCAGTGAAGGTAAAGGTAAGGTGGTGGCAGGATGTCCACCTAAAATGCCATATCAATTCTTTAGTTCCCAAAATTAATATAAGAATCTTTTTACTTACGTTATCCTTCATCATTAATGTGCCGTGCATGAGCTTTGGCTTCTTGACATCGGGTAGGAGACCTAAACCAAGGCCAAAGAAAGAGACCATGGTTAATGAAGAAGTACTTACTTTTCAGACAGACACCTGCTATAGGACTTAACAGTTTGGATTTCTGAGTCTTGCTGAGGTTCAGAGACTGGTATTTTACATCACTGTTCTCCTGTTAAAGTGCGTGGTGCTTATTAAACCATCATCAGAACTTCAGACACAGGAGAAGCCATGCTCAGCGATACAGACCTGCAGCCTCTTCCCACTTCACCTCCTGATCTGAGAGGTTTCAGATTTTTCTTAAATATTTTTCAGAATTTTCTTAAATATATTTCCTTAACTTTACAAAATTTATCCAATTTTATAAACCTTCTAAAAAGGTTTATCAAAGCAGTTCAGACCTAGCGAGTAAAAACTTGCATGGGTTTTGTTTCTTAGCAATGGGCAATGAGCAGCAAACAAGGCAGTGTGTGTTAAACATTGCTGATCACACATTCACAGCACAGTAGCTGCTGCGTGTCACAGGAAGCCCTCCCAACCTCTAAATGCTGATTAACCCTCTTCTTGTACAGGAAGCTCTGTTGTATGTCCTCATAGGTGTTCCCAATATACAGCTATTGCCGCCTAATACAAGTACAATACGGTGGCAGGGCCCAACAGATGAACTTCTTGGTTGAAAGTGTGTCACCTATGGCCGTTTCTCTCTTCAGGAGTCCCAGGGATATGTCCACGGGAATGCTGGGATTGGTGAATATTGTTGTGGTCTCTCCATTGGCAGGCATGTAGCAGCTGACATCTGCAATGTAAAGAACCAGCGTCAGAAGGACAGCGGCTGCCGCAGCCGTTCCAAACCCGGACCAGCGCTTCAGCCCTGAGCAGATGGAGCCCAGATTTATGGCAGAAGAATGTTGCAGCTCTTTGAAAGGGGCTGAAAAGCACAACTGCTGCTCAGGCACCTTTACCAGAGCCACCAAACCCCCTGTGAGCCCAGCTGGCCTGGGCAGAACAGACTGCACCAGAACTGCCTGCCCTCCGATGCTGACAGACTACTGCAAAGAAACCTGCAGGCAGTAAGTAATCATCCAACGTGAACTCTAGGCTTTCCCTACTCACTCCTTCCAAGGCAGTTGTTTCCAAGGAATTATTGCTTTTCCTGGAGCTCATTCCCCTTAACTAAAGTTGCCAAAGTTACAGTTTCAGATGTACCCTGCCTGCCTTGGCTTGTAATAGGATTATGAGCTTCTATGATTCTAATACAAATTCACTAAGTGAATAATGATAACAATAATGATAAGATATATATATAATGATACAATAATGATAAGCTATAATGATACAAACATCACAGAGCAACTTACACTTCAGGTCCAAATGGGCATTAGAATTAAATGGGCTTAACCTGTTAAATAAGATGTTGTTATGGATAGTAGTTTCCTAAGGGTGACGGGTCCTATAAATTACATTATGCCTAATCCTGTGCTGAGGTCCAGTGGATTAAATTTAAAGCCAAGTTGGACACAGGGGCTTGGAGCAAGCTGCTCTAGGGGAAGGTGTCCCTGCCCGTGGCAGGGGTTGGAACTGGATGAGCTTTAAGGTCCCTTCCAACACAAACCAGGCTGGGATTCCATAAAACATGTGAACGTTCCTGCCTGCTTCCTGCCACCACTCCCTCTTCAGTACCAGCACCATACGTACGAAATTCCTGTTCTATTTTCTGCTTCAGAAACTCCATTTTCTTTGCTTCCCCGTGGACCAGGAGAACATTCCGAGGCTCAGCCTGGCGAATCAGCTGCATGATCCCCTTGGCATCTGCATGCGCACTGAAGGACATGTACTCCACCTGCATCTTCACTTCCAGCTGGGGAGGAGCAGAAAGCACAGACTTTGTGCGTCTGGAACAGTGCGTGTAACACACACACAGACCCCAACTCCTACTGAATTTAGTTTAGTTTAAAGAAGGAAACACAACTGAGTTTCCCAATGGACTGGGAACGAACCTCATTTCCCAATGAAGTGAGGTTGGAGTCAGAGCTGCTTGGCAGCAGATGCTGAATATGATGCTGCACAGAAAAGCTCTTAATGACTTAAAGGCTCAAAGTACCCAGTTTCAGAGCACAAGACTTGTAGCACGTTTGCCAAAACAAATGAATACTGAAGGACAGCTGGTATCAGTTTAATGCCACCTAAAAATGCATACTTTTTACCTGACTTAATGGGGCCTAATTATTAATTGGTATAAATATGCCCTGACAAAAGCTTATGGCAGAAAAAGACAAGCTGTTGGCAATGCAAAAATGCAAAAGGGAACCCCCCCAGTCCAATACCAAAGAAAATGTCCCTTGGGTGTTTTCAATGCTGTATGTGGCATGTTCCCAATACATGTACATGGTGTTTAACTACCACCTCCAGTTCTGAAGAACTTCCTTCCCCCAAATGATCCTCCCTGAAAATCAAACCTACTATTTGTCTTCCTTCCATCTCCAGCTTGCGCTGCCCGCTCAGGATCTTGTGGCCTACGGTTCCCTGCACGCAGTAGCCAGGCATGATCACCTGAGGAGGAGAGCAGAAACACTCCAGACTCTACACGTGGACTGTGTTTTTATCATAACCACATCAGCATTATGCATTTGTGGATGTAAGTTTGTGTCCTTCCTATCTTAGATAGGACCATCCTCTGCCCCCGGCTGGTTCTCTGCAGGACTCACATCATGTAAAGAGGAAAACCTTTCCTGCAACATTTGTTCTTATCACAACCACTCATATGATAATACATATGGTTTGATAAAATATATATATCATTATATATACCCATCATATCCTATTATAACATTAAATTATGATAGGTTACAA